ATTGTACAAAACGATAATATTGTACTTTATCTTTGAGAGCGTTTTTTAGCGTCGAGACGTCAGTCGAGACGCTAATTGTGCTCGAGAAGATAATGCGATTTTATCGTCGTGTGCAATACAACTTTTTTTTCTATAGCAAGACTTCAAGTTCAGGTAAAAAATAGAATTTCAAAGAACATTGTAATTTTTAGCACAAAAATCGCAATTGTGTTGCTCCGTTGCTAGGGATATGAATTACTCTGTCAACAAATGTCAAACAAAAATGTTACAGAAAATCAATCAAGTACATCGAATCAAGTGCAAACGAGTACAAGTTGTGATGCTCCAAAAATAGATATTTCTAATAATGTTAATTGTAAAATTTCAGTTGTTTTTAATCCTTAATGTGTTTGAATTTGTAAATTTTATTGAATAAAAAAAAGTTAAAACATTTTATCTACTCTTGCTGTTAAAGTGTCACTTTATCTACCCTTGCGGTTAAAGTGATACTTTATCTACTCAAAACAGTTTTTATAGCAACACTTTAACATTAGCTATGGAAAAAAGAGGTTTTTTTTAAAGGATTAACTTCATCAGAAAATCGAGGGGGCGACCGCGTTCTAGAAAAAACTGATCAGAAAAGTTATGATTAAAAAAGTTAGTTATAAGTAATTTTATTGAGAGTTTTAAATGTCTGGAATCTCATTACTGCAGGAGTCAAATCAAGAAAAGAACTTATCTACCGTGGGATCTTAATATAAGAAAGCTTTTAAACTTTACGTCACATCAGTGGATAGCTCTCTTATGGTTAAGGAACATTATTTTTATTCATATTTTGTGCACTATAATATAGCTTTTGGAACACCTATTACAGACACATGCTCTCTTTGCTTAAGATGTAAGGAAGAGATAAGGAAAGAAAAAGATGAGGAGCAAAAAAAAGAACAAAAAATATTTTATAGGAATCACATAAACTTAAGGAAAAGCATTTTACAAAATTCTTAAAACTAACAGCAGCGAGAGAGAAGTTTTTTCAATGGATTATCAAAAAACTTAGCTCTTCCGAAATTACCTAATCAGAGAGCTTACTTCTCTTCCCATTATAATCTTTAAAAATTTTCAATTGTAAATGGTACTTCTAATATAAAATTTATTTCTGACACAGTTTCAGCTTATCTATGGACCGATTTAGATTTGCCAAAAACTCAAGTGCTACAGCTTCAGCGTTGTTAAAATTTTCCAGAGATATAAAAAAAATTTTGATTTGTGCAGATGACTGTCCAGGTCAAAATAAAAACATCACAATGATCGGCATGCTTGCAAGTTTTCTCCATAAAAAGGCGCCTAATAATATTCGCTGTATTGAACTAATATTCCCAGTCGTAGGACACAGTTTTATGCCACCAGATAGAGTTTTTGGTATTTTTGAAGGCAAAATTAAAAAAACAGAAATAATAACGAATCCAGAGAACTACATAACTACAATAGAGCAAAACGCCACAATTTATAAATTGGTTGAAGACTGGGACGCGTTTGATTGGAAAACCTCAGTATCAGATGTTATTAAACTTTACGTCACATCAGTGGATAGCTCTCTTATAGTTAAGGAACATTATTTTCGTTCATATTTTGTAATGCACTACAATATAGCTTTTGGAACACCTATTACAGACACATGCTCTCTTTGCTTAAGGTATAAGGAAGAGATAAAGAAAGAAAAAGATGATGAGCAGAAAAAAGAACAAAAAATATTTTACAGGAATTATATAAACTTGAGGCAAAAGCATTTTACAAAATTCTTAAAACTAACAGCAGCGAGAGAGAAGTTTTTTTAATGGATTGTCAAAAAACCTAGCTCTTCCGAAATTACCTGATCAGAGAGCTTACTTCTCTTCCCATTATAATATTTACAATTTTTCAATTGTAAATGGTACTTCTAATATGAAACTTAACTCTGACACAGTTTCAGCTTATCTATGGACCGATTTAGATTTGCCAAAAAACTCAAGTGCTATAGCTTCAGCGTTGTTAAAATTTCCAGAGATGTTAAAAAAATTTTGATTTGGTGCAGATGACTGTCCAGGTCAAAATAAAAACATCACAATGATCGGCATGCTTGCAAGGTTTTTCCATAAAAAGGCGCCATAAATATTCGCTGTTTATATATAGTCCCAAGATTCCTAAGAGGAACATAGGGCTTCCACAAAGTGTCTCCAGCAAACTCTATTTCTGGATAGTGCTTTGATTTCAAGCCAGGATTTTCCCATTTTTCTCCCTTCGTCCAGTACTGTCCTTCTCCAAGTTCCCTTAGGTCTGCCTACTTTCCGTCGGCCTTGGGATTCCAATCCAGCGCTGTCCTGGCAATGTCATTTGGCGGTCTACAGAGTGTGTGGCCCAGCCATCTCCATTTTCTTCGCCTTATTTGCTTTATGACATTTTCTTGGTTGCTTTGGTTCCATAAATTTTCATTGTAGATTCGGTTAGGCCAAACTATACGAAGGATTTTTCGTAAATATTCGCTGTATGAACTAATATTTCCAGTTGTAGGACACAGTTTTATGCCACCAGATAGAGTTTTTACTAAAGTGTGACAACTATAGAGGTATAGCCTTACTAGACACGGTATACAAAACCTTGGCAAGAATATTGAGAAATAAACTAAATTGCTACACGGAAACAATCCTACATGAGTATCAGGCCGGTTTTAGAAAGGACAGATCTACTGTAGACCAAATCTTCTCATTAAAGGAGATACAAACGACTTGTTATGAAGGTAAAGTTCCCCTGCATGTTTTGTTTATGGATTTTAGACAAGCATATGATAGAGTCGATAAAGTCAAAATGTATCGAGCAATGGAACATTTGGGTATACCAAAGAAACTGATCCGGCTAGTAAAAATGACATTAAATAACTCTAAGTGGAAATTACGTGGCAGGATCGCGTATCAGATCAATTTACGGTTGCAAAAGGCTTGAGACAGGGAGATCCTTTATCCACTACATTATTCAACTTAGTGTTAGAAACTGTAATTAGAAAAAGCAACATGAAGGTGGAAGAAACAATCATGAAAATGAGCACCAGTGCTTGGCATTTGCTGACGATTTGACGATCCTAGCAAAAACCGAGAAAAAATTAAGAAGAGTTGTAAAGAAAATCATCGAAGAAGCACAAAAATTCGGATTGGAACTAAATGAAGACAAAACCAAATAAATGATCATGGGAGGAACAGAAGAGAAAAAGGAAGACTTTAGTGTGGGGTCTGTAAGTGGTCAAATCTATAGTTTTAAAAGGGTGGACAAATTTGAATACCTGGGTGTAGTTTTCGATGAAAATGGAAAAGAGGAATGGGAGCTGGAAGCCAGAATAGCAAAAGGGAATAAAAAATTAGGTAGTTTAAGAGCCCTACGGAACTCAAAATACGTTTCTAGAAAAGGTAAACTCAGAATATATATATATATAATATATATATATATATATATATATATATATATATATAACAGTAATTCGACCCACAGTAACATACGCCGGTGAGACATGGATATTAAATAAGAAGGAAGAGGATACTCTGGAAAGATGAGAAAGGAAAATACTGAGACGCATATTCGGAGGATGGAAGACAGAATATGGTTGGGAGAGAAGAACCAACAATGAATTAATGGCTTTATACCAAGAACCTACCATTACCAAGTTCGTCAAGTCACAAAGAATCAGATGGTTGGGACATGTGGAACGAATGGAAGCAAACAGAATGCCCAAACTAGTAATAACCAGAAAACTAATCGGCCCCAAAAGAAGAGGTAGACCCAGAACGAGGTGGATTAATAAAGTGGAGGAAGACCTTAAAACATGTGAAGGTTAGGGTCTGGAAAAGAAAAGCACAAAATAGAAGCGAATGGAGAAATATTGTCCACCAGGTCCTTGTAGAGAGTGTTGAAAGAATGTTGTATATACATATTTAAGTTAAAGTTTTGTTTAAAATAATTGTAATTAGTTAATATTAGGATTATGTTTACAAAAATTGCCCTAGGCCTTAATGGTCTGTTGTGCGTAAAAATAAATAAATAGATAGAGTTTTTAATATTTCTGAAGGCCAAATTAAAAAAACAGAAATAATAACGAATCCAGAGAACTACATAACTACAATAGAGCAAAACGCCACAATTTATAAATTTGTTGAAGACTGGGACGCGTTTGATTGGAAAACCTCAGTATCAGATGTTATTAAACCACCAGGAGCTTGGCACTTTTAATTTCAACAGTGCAAACGCTTTAGAATTTTGAAGCAAAATGATAATACAATTGAAGTTCAGGGCGAAGTCAACTATAATACATTCATCGGCGTTCCAAAGGGCATTTGTAAGAAAGGAAAACATATTCGTTCGATTAATCCTGACAAATTTGAAGCTGGCAGAATAAGTGACAAAAAGAAGGCCCAGAGTGTTGCCAAACTATTAGAAACGCATTATTGAACTGATTGACAAGAAAATTCCGATTTGAAGTTTTATAAAGATGCCATTCACTAAATAATGAAGAGAGTGATTCACAACTATTGACAAATGAATTATGTGGAGAATTTTCTCAGGAAGAAACAACTGGGATGTAAAATTTGTTGTGTTAAAAAAAAGTTAAGTTTTATGAGTTTACGATATTTTCAATTTATAACAATAATTATATAAAATATAAATAACTAAATATGTTTTAAGTAATAAGAATCTAATGTTTATAATAATTTATTAAGTAAAGTTTAAAAAAAAACAAGTTCTCTGAAATTTCCAATCCAAAGTTGCTAAATTTTGTTACAAATCCCGCCATGTCCATAAATAAAACCAATTTTATACCGAAACTACAGCTCAAATATTTTTTATTTTGTATTCTTCTAATAAAACTATATAGTAGAATACAAGTAAATCAAACAGAAAACTAAAAATATCATAGGAGTCCTCTGTAATAGTTTTTCACGTTTCCTGAAAATTTTGATAGATGTGACTTGGCGGATTTTGCTTCTAAACCCCTCATTTACTACATTCTCCAAAAAAGCTTATGTAAAAATGCATTATTATATATGTAATCAAAAATTATTTTAGCTTGAAGTGACAAGATTCGACGTCCTCGATGAAGTTATGAATGATGTAAAACTTCGCATACTTTTATGGGATAGTGTGGACTCTTGGGCGAAAACAGTCGACGAATGGTATCACATACCCTTCGATACTCTAAACGTGGACGATATGAACATGTTTATAGCCAAAAATTTAAAATATATAGCTCAACTAGAAAAAGGTCTACCAGTTAATCTGATCGTGCCAAAATTTCGAGACGAAGTAGAACTTATGAAAGATAAAGTAAGAATACCTTTTGATAGAAGAGTTTTTACCGATATAAATTTCTTTACATCCATTTTTTTCCTCTTTTATATGTTAATGATTTACCTTCGATATTTATTTTCTCCCAAACTGTTTTATTGCTGTTTTATTTAACTACTTTTTCCAAGTTTTTTCTATATATTCAAAAACATAACAGCAGCATGCATTTATTTCAGCTTCCAGTTGTATGCTACTTAAGAAACCCTGCGTTAAAGAACCGCCATTGGATATTAGTAGAGAACCTATTAAATCATAAATTCAAGCCTGATGAACTCATGACTTTAGAACTATTGGAGAATCTAGGCGTGTTCAATAATCCTGCAGAGCTAATGGAGATATCTGGACAAGCTAGTAGTGAAGCAGGACTAGAAGCATTGTTGAAAAAGGTAAAATATGATGTAATCTCAAATATAATTAAGATTAAACTTTTTTTATTTTGGTCAGGTGGAAGAAGCATGGAAAACTCTCGAATTGCCCATTATTTCTCACAAAGATGCCAAAGATTTATTTATTCTAGGATCACTTGAAGATGTTCAAGCTATTCTTGACGAAAGCAATATTAACATGACAACTATTGCTAGTTCAAGGCATGTGGGACCAATTAAACCTCGAGTAGACGAATGGACCAAAAACTTAGACCTTTTCTCGAGGACTCTGGTAAGAATTACATAGTTGGATCACTATGCACTATATTTCCCATAATACAAAAATAGTTAACTGAAACTAAAGTAACCTTTTTTATTTTTATGTATTTAATTAATCTTTAAAGAGCCTGCGACTGTATTTGTTAACTCTTAGGATGAATGGACATCGTGCCAGCAGAGCTGGCTATACCTTGAAGTAATTTTCTCCGCACCAGACATCCAACGCCAGCTGCCGAACGAAGCCAAATTGTTTACCGTAGTCGATAAGTCTTGGAAAGAAATAATGAGGCGTACGGCGAAAATGCCTCTTGCTATGGAATCGGCTCTATATCCAAACACTTTGGAAACCTTCCTAAGGAATAACAGTCTATTAGAACAGATCATGAGATGTTTAGAGTCCTATTTAGAAACCAAGCGAGTAGCCTTCCCCAGATTCTATTTCTTATCCAACGATGAGCTTTTGGATATTCTCGCTCAAACTAGAAACCCCCATGCTGTTCAGCCTCATCTAAGAAAATGTTTTGATGCTATAGCAAAGTTAGAATTTGGTGTTAAAGTGCCAGACGAACCAGAAGAAGTCGATGCAAAGGTAAAGGATGAGTCGCCAGTGGAGGTAGTCCTGACAACTGATATTATAGCTATGATCAGTCCCGAAGGTGAGAGAGTGGCACTTGGAAAAGGACTAAAAGTAAGGAACTCTCTAGAAACGACTTGAATTTCTTCTATTGTTTTGTATTTTCAGGCTCGTGGAAACGTAGAAGACTGGCTAGGCAAAGTCGAGGAATCCATGGTACTTTCTCTGAAAAGGCTAATGAAAGCGTCCTTGATCCATTATCAAACCCACCTAAGGACTGAATGGGCACTGTGTCATGCCAACCAAATAATTCTCACTGTATCGCAGATAATGTGGGCCAAAGGTGTTCACGACATTTTAGACGCTCCAAATAACGTTAACAAATTTAAAAAGATGGAACAATATGAACAAAAATGTATATCTGTGAGTAAAATATATAATATTTGATTTTTTAAAAGTTGTACATATTTTATTGTATACTATTGTATACTCTTACTATTTTTTATTACATTTTTAGGATTTAAATGATTTAGCTAAATTGATAAGAAAGGATTTAGCTTCAGTCCCAAGAAAAGTTCTTGTTGCATTAATAACAATTGATGTCCATGCAAGAGATACTGTTAGTAATCTCGTGGCCAGCAGAATTACCAACAGGTATGATAAATAACAAATATTACGATAAAATTTAACTAATACGTAAATATTTTAGTTCTAGTTTTGATTGGCTGAAAGTCCTGCGATACTACTGGCACGAGTCTATCGATGACTGTCAAACTAGAATGTCCAGTGCCTCTTACATATATGGATACGAGTATCTAGGAGCCGCAGGTGTACTGGTCATCACTCCTTTAACTGACAAATGCTATCTCTGTCTTATGGGAGCCTTGCAGCTCGATCTGGGTGGAGCCCCTGCAGGTCCTGCTGGTACTGGAAAGACAGAAACTACTAAAGATTTGGCCAAAGCCTTAGCCATTCAATGCGTTGTATTTAATTGCTCAGAAGGTCTTGATTACAAGATGATGGGAAGATTCTTCTCTGGATTGGCGCAGTCTGGTGCTTGGTGCTGCTTTGATGAGTTCAACAGAATTGATATAGAAGTATTGTCTGTTATAGCACAACAGCTGATAACTATAAGGAATGCAAAGGCTGCTAAAGTACCAAGGTTAGTATACAGTGGCTAATTTATCTAAAACACATGCATATTTACATGTTTATTTCTATTTTGACGTCAATTATTTTATACCCCATATACAAGTCAAGCAACATTTCTTTAGTGACAACATTCTTCTTTAGTGACAACTTTAATATATTTATATTAACTATAAATAGAAATATTATTAATTAGAATATGTATAAGTATTATAAATTAATATAGTGTTTTTGTACACATTTTAATTAATGTGGATTGATGAGGATTTGGACGTATCCCCAAAGTGCTGAAAAAAGTTCCCAATATTGTATTAATCAAAATAAAACAATTATTCAGGATTCTAAAGAAAATGAAGTTTCTGGAGTGAACATTTCAAGTACTATATTTTTGGTGTAGTAATTAACAGTAGTTAAAATAAAAATTCCACCAAGATTATTCCGCGGTCAAACTGAGTAAGGATTTCATTTTAACAGATCGTTAATTAATAGAGAATCAAAGCTTTTGAATTAAAAAGCTACTGCTTAGCCCACTCATAAAGAAAAAGGCAAAAACTGGTCGAAGCTCACAAAGATTGGATAATTTAGAATTAGAACTAATTGCGTAATAACATTATTCTCTTAGATTCTTAAATAACATGGATTATGGGTAAAACTCAAAAGAAAACGGTAGGGGAAACAAAGATGAATTAATTCATTACAAAGGCTGTGAATCACAAAACCTGTTAGATAATTCTTCAGTTACAACCTGGTAAAAGTGCTCGAGTGGCCTGCTTATTCTCCAGATCTTGTTCTAATGGAAAAATATATAAAATTAGATAATACAAGCAATATCCAACGAAATTATTACCATAAAATGTAGACTGATCGAACACTAATAGAAGTTTAATGTCATCATCATCAATCAGCCAATCGCGTCCTGCTCGACATAGGCCTCCCTCAGTTCTTTCCAGTGTTCTCTACACTAAGCCGCTTGTAGCCAGTTTCCCGCTACACGTTTTATATCATCGGTCCATCTAGTCGGTGGTCGTCCTCGGCTTATTTTATAGTTTCTGGGCCTCCATTCCATAATACGTCTTGTCCACCGTCCATCTTGTGCTCTGGCTAAGTGCCCTGCCCAGTTCCACTTAAGCGAAGTGGTTCTTTCAATGACGTCTTGAACTCCTGATCTTTGCCTAATTTATTGGTTTGTTATGTGGTCTCGAAGGCTCACGTTCAGCATTACACGTTCCATGGCTCGTTGTGTAACTCTGAGTTTATTCGCAGATTTTTGCGTGAGTGTTAAAGTCTCTGCTCCATAAGTTTGTAAAGGTAAAACACATTGGTTATAAACCTTTCGCTTTCGCTTGAAGGAGAAGGAGAAGTTTAATGTAAAAGTAAAAAATTATAGAAAAAAGCTGTTGAAAATGCATTGAGAGGTGTTAAGAATGTGCCAGCCAATCATATATACAAAGAATGACATTGGTTATATAGATAAATAGATTTAGAGAGGAGACCTTTTGGCCTATTTCACTGCGACTTTTCAGATCTATTGTAGTCCTCTAGTCCTATAATATTTAGATATTTTCTAGTAATAGATGATATTTTCTAGCCTAACCCTTTTTAAAAAGTTTAATAGCTTCGAGACTAGACCTTCCATGTAGCTATTTGCTGGTGGATTTGCTTCACCTAATGCAAAGAACTGCACATTTTCCAGACTGTCATACCGACATAGAATGTACTCTGCCGTTTCTTCTTCAAGGTGACAGAATCTGCACAGGTCATCATCTAATAAGCCCATCAGATGAGCCATGTTTAGCCACTTCATCTGCTTTTTCATTGCCCTTATGACCCTCATGCCCCGGCACCCAGGCTACCGTAACTTTGCTACGACTCCTAGTTTAGGGCACACACAATCCCATACTAGCTTAGAATTGACCTCTACAGAATTGAGTGCCTTAAGCGCTGCCTGACTATCTGTGAAGATGGCAACTGAACGGAACGTTCTTTCCTGCCTTTCTATTATTTCCACGCAATTATGGATTGCCGTTATTTATATATACACCGGTATTTAGACGACACGCCCTTCCGGTAGGGATATATAGAGGAGTATCACCGAGACGCAAGTCCTTATCTCTTGCCGTACTGCTCCACCATAGACCGATCAGACACCAGCATATTCTAGTCTAAGCCGCAGATTCATCTAGAATTTTAAACTGCTGCATTAGCCTTTTTGTTTTCTGTACACCGAGCTGAGGATCCAGCGCACATCCACTGAACCACTCGCAGTGAAGCGAATGAGAACCGGCCGCCCAGCCTGCTTGGCTATCTGACCGACGATCCGTTATTTCCGCCTGGAAAACTGTCACCTACTTAGATAGACTTACCACGAAATGTATCCCTTGATTTGTCCCTAGTATGCCGGCTCCCACACCCTCCGATGTTTTTGAGCCATCCGTTACCAGATAGCAGCAGCTTGTATGGGTACACCTTTATTCCAGTCTTCCCTACTACTATTGGATATAACTTCAACTGTCTTTTTTGTCATTTTACTATCTGATATTATTGATATAATAAGCCATTGTACATGTAGTTATTATTTTATAATCTTTTTAGAAAATTTCCAAATCTGATCTAATCTTCTTTTACATCGTGCAGGTTTATGTTTGAAGGGCGTGAAATCAAGCTAGTACAAAAATGTGCAGCGTTTATAACCATGAATCCTGGATACGCTGGTAGAACTGAACTACCAGATAACCTAAAAGCTCTCTTCAGACCGATAGCTATGATGGTACCGGACTATGCGCTAATTGCAGAAGTAATTCTGTATTCTGAAGGCTTTGAATCTTCAAAAACTCTTTCCCATAAAATGGTACAAATGTATAAATTGTGCAGCGAGCAATTATCTCAGCAGGATCATTATGATTTCGGTATGAGAGCCGTGAAGAGTGTTCTGGTTATGGCTGGATCTTTGAAGAGAGCTGCTCCAGATCGAGAAGAGGATGTCGTGTTGATATGTGCGTTAAGAGACAGTAATTTACCCAAGTTTTTGGCTGACGATGCTATACTTTTCACTGTAAGTACTACATAAATTTTACTTTTGGAAACTAACGTGCTATTTGAACTAAAAAACTACTATTTGAAAGTAGCTAAACTTGTCTTTTCAAATGTACATTTTTTATTCTTATTTTCTTATCAATAAATTGCAAAATGTTCGAATAATTATTCGAACATATTATTTATATATGTTTATGAATATAGTGTGCAGTTTATATATCTTGCTTTTATTTATAGCATTTAATATTATTTTTTATTTTATGCTCTATTCTTGTGCTGGGTTTTATATCAAGTATAAATGACATATACTATAATTTGTGTTTTTGATTTTTTTGTGTATGTTGTTATTGTTGGTTTGTTAAATTTTCACGTTCAGTGTACTTCGGATTGAACCTGTGCTAATATTTATCTCTCGGGTATATTTGGACCATTTTACAACTGTTTCCGATACTCTAATTTGCCATTTCAAATTATTGCACTTGTTCTTTTCCATTTTTTATGATTGTAAGCTCTTTTATGATTGTAAGATTGTAATCTGCCAGCCGATAGCTTAAAAATTGTATTTCTTCCAAAAAATCGTTTTATTCTAAAAATATATAGTTTTCTCCACTCTTATCTTTTCTATTTTGAAGCAATTAGATCCGATATGGCTTTATGATGGGGGGAGGGAAAGGGGAGGAAGCCCTTTTCTTTAATATTTTAATAGATTTCTCATTAACTTTTTTCAATAATTCATTTTATTAATAATTATTTTAAACATTTTTAGGGAATTTTGGGTGACCTCTTTCCAGGAATAGACCTACCAGTACCTGATTATGGAGTTTTTCAAAGTACCATCGAGGAAGTGATGGTCGAACACAACTTGCAACCAGAAGAGTGCATGATTCACAAAATTATACAGCTGTATGAAACCATGATAGTACGATGGGGAGTGATGCTGGTGGGACCCACGGGTGGAGGGAAATCGGAAATTTTAAAAGTAAGTAACTTGAAAGTTTCTCTTATTATTTTTTAAATTATTTATGACCTTTGCAGACTTTGAACAGAACACTAACCAGGATGTATCAGAACGGTATCAAAGGTCCCCAGTTTCGTCCTGTTCGTACGTACACTATGAATCCCAAAGCAATTACAGCTGGAGAGCTCTACGGAGAAATTAACCCTTTTACTCTCGAATGGAAAGATGGTTTAATGGGCATAACGATGAGAACAGCAGTTGGTTTTACCACAGAGGAACACCAGTGGATCATTTGTGATGGTCCTGTTGACGCCGTTTGGATCGAAAACTTGAACACTGTATTGGACGACAATAAAATGTTGTGTCTAGCTAATTCTGAAAGGATCAAGCTGACTGAGTGGGTTCATATGGTGTTTGAAGTTCAGGATCTTTCTCAAGCTTCCCCAGCAACGGTTAGCAGGTAAAAAAGGATATTTATATTAGTCTCTTATGTTGAACTTGTTAGGTTTTATTATCTTTTACAAATATCAAAACATTGTTTGATATTTTAGATGCGGTATGGTATACGTCGACTCAGAAGAGATAAAGTGGTTCCCATATGTCAAATCTTGGATGGCAAATTTCAGCGAAGCACTTTTGTCTCAAGAAATGAAAGAATTTATGCTTGAGTTGTTTGATCATGCCGTGGAAAATGGTTTTATGTACGTTAAAAAGCATAGTCACTATTCTATTCACCAAGTGAGTATTTTTATAAATATATTATTAGAAATATGGTTACAAATAATCTTGCAGTATTTTCATCTTTTATTTTTAAATATATATAAAATATTATTTTGTCCTATGAAACAGATCCATAAGTTTCTTCCACTAACCTATTCCTCTAGTTTCAGCATTATTGTTACTTATGTTTTTATTGTTACTTTTTTACTACATTTTTCCATAACATAAATTTTTTAAATTGTGTATAAAAATAAGCCTGTAGAAATTCTAAACTTCATAATTATTATGCTACAATATTCTGTACCCTGGAGTCAAAATTGG